TCTGACAAATCTGTGTTTTAATTGATAGTAAGTCTAGCCAGCCATCTAAACTTCGGAGTAGTGGGAATCATGGCTAAATACTGAACAGATAGTAGTGACCTTTGATAGGTTCCTATTGACTGGGTTAGTCATGCTCACTCTGCAGCAACATTTCAAAGATAAAATGTGTTTCTGTCAAAAATAAATTGTTTATTTCAGTAAGTAAAAACACATTAGACAAAAGGAATTATCTCTTCGCCACTTGGTAAAATGATTAGAACAGAATTTAATCCTATAAAATTCCAAAATTTTCTCAGAACCAACATGTGTAGAAAACAATTTGGCCCCCAAAGCAATCCCCAAAAGTCTACAGCCAGCATGCAGTGTGGTGAGATATCACTGAGGAAAGGGTGGATATTATTACTGTAGTGTTAAAAGACGCAAAGCTGAAGGCTATAGAATGCCACAGTCAAGTAGAATTATATTTTGAGTTCTACTTTCGACACAAAAAAACGGATAGCTGCGATGCACTTGGGGTAAGTTCAGAGCCTCAAGGCAAAAGCCGGGGTGCTGGCACTTGGGGAGAGTTCAAAACAACCTCAAGATGCAAAGAGGTTCTATTCTTGAGGGAGCATTCAATGCATCAATGTGTAAAAGGGCTGTTGCACTTGGCTGTTGCACTTTCAAGGCTTAAAAAGTGCGGAGGCATGTATCACTACAGGGAGCATTCAGGGTCTTAAGGTGAAGTCGATGGTGGCAGAGCTGAGTGGCCACAGTAAACATTGTAACCGACAGACCAGTGGTACACAAACACCCCTCCCCCAGACCACCTCAACACCCCCCCCACACACACACAGTATCTTCGCCAATTAACTCAGGCCTACATGAATAAATCAAGATAAAATAGGCACATAACCACACTAATAATTAGATTTTTCCTTCAATGCCGCAATTAAAAAGGAAAAAATAACATTACTTACATCCTCTCCTGAGGCGTGGCCAGTATGTGTGTGCACGTGCCTGTGTGTGGGTGTTTGTGTGTGCACTTGGTGGAACGAATACCGCTAAAAGCTTTTTCCAGAGGCATCGGAAGCCCGGAGTAAACAAACTCGTTTTGGGAGAAGGGGCGGGTGGGGGGGGTGTTTTCTTCAGCAATCTGCTGTAAATTCAGTGTCAGTTGGGAATTCTGATGAGCTTAGCATATTGTTTTCTATGTAACACATGCATTACAAGAAGTAAGCAGGCATGCCAACTCCTCTGTGGGTGTCTGTATCTTCGATGCGTCTGTTTAATGAGGGTCTGGGGTGCAGAGACTGGGGCCGATGAACTGTCGCACTGGTTCCCAAACCGGGGGACTAGGCCCACGGAGGAACCATAATACCTTAGGCGTACAATTATAGTAAGAATACGAATGTTTAAAATTCCCCCAAACTGGAGACTTCAAAACAAGCAGGCTCGGGACCTTTTAGGGTAAGTATTCAAAGTGGATAGACGTGCCAGTGTTCACGGGGTACGTTGGAAGCCTTAAGGGATGCCTGGCACTCCTTTTACCGGCAATATCCCCTTCCAAATTACCTGCCTCCCTCGGACTAGAGGCTAAATATGTTAAATGATCATGCAGGTCATTCAGGTCAGTTTGCGATAACTGGTGTTTTTAGCTGGAGTTAACATAATGTAACTAAAGTACTGGCACAAAGCGGCGTTCACATTTAACCAGCGAGAGTTGTAATGTTAACAAATACTCACTGGTACAGGGCATGTCCGGCTGGTCCACGTCACCGCGGTAATATCCGTTGCGGCAGACGCAGATGGTGGCTGCCTCGGACGCCGACCGGCTGTTGGAGGGGCACTGGAGGCACAGGCCCGGACCCTGTGTTGACTTGAATGTCCCCGGGGGGCAAGCTACGGAGAGAGAAGGACAAACAACGTTAGACGTTCAGATAATGCAATGTGTTCCAGCACCGGAAAGAGAGGCGCGATCAACATGATCGGCGTGACCGTTACACACATCAAAATGGCCGCAGTCTGTTTACAACAGTCGACGTAGCCTCGACTGCTGGCTCTATGTGAATGTGTACACGAAAAAGTACAAAATAAAAGACCAGCAAACCAATAAAGCTACAGATCTATAAAATGTAGCAGTGAGGCTGAGGATTAAATGGACTCCAACAAATCCTGACGCATCGCAGATATCGAATGATTTCTACCTTTCCGTCCTCTTCTCTCACTTTTTCTCATTCAGTCATTTCCTTTCTGTCTTTCACACTTCTTTCTCTATGTCGTCCGCCTTCTTTCACTTTATCTCATTCAGTCATTCTCTCTCTCTTTCTCGCTTTTCTTTCTCTCTGTCATTTCTTTTCTCCATCACTGTCTGTCTCTTTTTCACTCTCTCCTTGTCTCCGGCCCTTTGTGTCGGCTGATTGGAAGTGACTACGTCCAGACACATTGATCTCTGCGCTGCTCACTCCCTTTTACGTCAGCAGTGGCAGACTCATTCCACCGTGTTGTCAAACAGAAACAGGAGGAGATCGAGGCAGCGGGAGAACAAATGGATCTGTGTCGGAAATGACTGTGCCCCTAGGCTTGGGCAAACACCACATCTGTTTCAGCAAATCCTGCTGGAATTAAAGCCAGAGAAAACTAAGGGGAGAGCCTGTGTCCTGAAAAAGATAGGGATTTACGAACTATAATAACCATGATGAATGCCTAATATTTTAGCGAGCATCCTCTTAGGGTTTAGAAGAGGAAAGAGGAAAGAGCAAAGAGCGTCTTAAACCCAGAATAACTAGATCTATAAATTCAACAGGACACTCTATCCTGCGGTTATGTCCAGGAGTAAAACAGTGTAATTGCTTGGCTGGGGGAGGCGTATGTAGGATAGGCCTTTAGTGACTCCGGCTATCCAGTGAGTGTTTAAAAAGGAGTTTACAAAGAAAACTGCTTAGTCATGGACAAGTCAGCACTATTAAAGCAGTGAAAACATCCTATGTTACTAAATGAATAAACCATGCGAGGTAGGACTTGGGATCGACCCTCGAAACCAACACATATTCATTTTAGATTGGAGAACCAGAGTTTTTTCTTGTACCTTTGACCTAACCATGGAAACCTGAAGGTTGTAGTGGCAAAAACTTGAATTAGCTCAAATTGAAAATTATAATTGGTACATTGGAATGGTTGCAGGAGGATAACTGAATTGACTCATCATATTTATGAGCGTGGTACGCAATACTCCACACCCTCTTAGAACCAACTGAATGAACAATCCAGATAGAATGCCAAAATGGAGGCAGAGTGCAGAGTTTTTTTTAGCCCTATATATCAACAGCCTTTTAAGATTGAATTAAACATTTTATGCTTCTTTAATATGAGAATAGAGGATCTGGGGTTTGAGACAATTATCTGGTTTATAGCGCCGTTAAATAGGTAGGTTCCACCATCTTCACGATTGCTCCCTCCTGTTCCACTACTATCTAGAATGGTTTGTTAGATCCAGAGAGGGACTCATGCAGGAAAAAGACAGTGACAAAGAGGGAGAGGAAAATGGGAACAGTCAAAGTAAGAAAAACAAAGAGAACGAGAGTAGCTAAATATCCCAGGTAAATTGTTGTCACCTTCTCACAATGCTGCTTAGCGATGGTCTTGTAGCCCATTCCAGCCTTGTGTAGGTCTACAATATTGTCTCTGAAATCCTTGGACAGCGCTTTGGTCTTGGCCATGGTGGAGAGTTTGGAATCTGAGTGCATGGCACAAATATTTGACACGCAATTTGTGTACATGTGCCGGAAACCTGTGATATCATGTTGAAAATCCTGCTGATTTACAGGGGATGAAATATGTATTTCACTATAGACTGATCATGTCTTTGTCAGTGGGCAAACGTACAAAATCAGCCGGGGATCAAATAATGTGACCAAAACATTGAGAGAACGGAGAGAAAGCTCATGAAAGAGATAAAATGAGATAGACAAAGAGACAGAGAAAGACAGGCACAGAGAAACAAAGAGAGATGAGTGGGAATGAGTGGGAATGAGAGCCACTGCAACAAGGTCAACAGTGCTCTTAACCCTGACAGAGAGAGATAGTGCTCAGCTTCGACTTCCTCACAGACACACCACAGAGACTTATACATTGACCTGATGTCGGGTCACGTAATACACAGCGACCCACTACAACCACCAACAACACAGTTAAAGGAAAAACACATGCAGGCTAAACGTATCAACCACAAAGAAGACCAGGAAACCATTTGGACTGGGGCTGGGAATTGCTCGGAAGCTTTGTGAGGAACCTTGCGATACTAAGATGCTGTAATGTGGTGTGAAGCATTGTGCAGAAGGAAGATGCAAACGAAGCTTCCAGGATGAGTAGTTCAATCTGGTGAATATACTATTAACAGTTCTGTGGAATGTCATGACAAGCCACAGGACATATGGGAATCGCACGCCCCATCTGAACCCCCCCAGCGTAAAACCCAACAACCCTTTAAAAAACAAAGACTTACTAAACCGACAACCAGGAGCACGCGGGGAAAAAGATGAGTGTTGTTTGGTTGTTCTAAACAAAAACTTATTTTACAGACCATCACTAACTGACCTCAAAAAATTTCCCAAAGTGTGTGTTTATTGAGGTGTGAACAGCGCGTTTTAACGCATGTTTGTGGTGTTGTGGGCTTCCCTCTAGGCTTGTATTTACAGAGAGAATCCTACATCAATATAAACGGATTGATGGAAAGTGCAAAGGGGAGAAAGGTGATGCTCTTAGTCAGCAAAGCTGCATGCTTTCAAACCGGCTAACACACACCCGCACACAAGCACACCGGTGCAGAGGACTGACCGTGTTCGGTTAAATTAGCATTCCATATTCTAAGGCAATTGACTAACATCTGTCGAACAGGACGTGAGTCAATTTAATTCTCCTTCCGGTCTACCTGCCAAGGCGATCTGGTCAGCAAGAAAGTAAGCACTGACGCAAACGCTCGTTTGGGTGTTCACGCAAACGCACACGCACAGACACAGAAGGAGTTGGTAGCTCAGTGGAAGAGTGCAAGCTTCCAATGTATGAGGTCCTGGGTTCAATCCCCATCTTCTCGACAGGTCGCCGTTGCAATTTGTTCTCATTTGGCCTACCTGGTTAAATAAAGGTTAAATTAAAGAATAAATATTCAAGTCAGCATTGTGCCACAGGCAAACACGCATTGACGCACGGATTGAAATGAGTAAACACGGTGAGCACACAAGTCATAAGGATCCTCACACACACACACACACACACACATACACACACACTGTATGGCCCTCTCGCATGCTGTTTTCCATTGTTTTCCATTTCATCCAGGAATGCGTGGGTGGAGCCAGGATAGCCGTCAGGAAGATTGGCAACACCTGCTGAATACCTGGTTTGCTGCCTTTAAAGCTGAGCCTTCAGCTGCTCGCGCTCTCTCCCACAGCAGACATTTCTGATTAATTGGCTGTAACCTGTTTGCTGCTTGGATTTCATACACCCTACAACATACAATAGGATTCATACAGACACTCATTCACACCACTGATGAACTGATTTTTACACCCCATTCTTTTTTTATTCGGTTGTGAGTATGTCCATTTAATGAATTGTCTTTTGTTTATTGTAACTGCCGTTGTGTTGTCGCCTAATGTTTGTCACGGTATTGAGCCAGGTCGTGACAAATGGGAGCTCACAAACACACACACACACACAATCTTAACTGAGCCTTCCTCTAATGGGCCGCGCTCATTAAGTGCATGAAGCTACCACATTAAAATGATTAATTAACCCCTAACTGCTCTGCTGCACAAGATTCAGAAAGAGAGAGAGCTAGGGAGAGACAGGGAGGGAGATATTGAGAGCGAGAGAGAGAGAGAGAGGGAAGGAGATGAGGGAGGAACATTCATATAATTTGCTGTAACTGATCTTCATTCTAGTTGACCAATAGTATTGATAGTTTGTTATAATAGCATTGCTGCTTTATTGCATTTGTTTGCCCGTCTTTATCAAGGTGTCAAAAATGAAGGAGACAGAAAATGTGGAGGGCGACAACGCAAAAGCCTCACATCCAGAAGTTTTAGATCAACAAGTAATTATTATACCCGGCGTTCAGGTGGCCCAGCGGCAGCAGGAAAACTCGACATTACCCCGTTTCATGTGTTCTCCGTTGGGTTCTTTTGAAACAGACATGTGAATTTGTTTTCTCTCTTCTGTTGATGTGTTTCCCCTCTTCTGTTGACGTGTTTCCCATCACAATTTTCTCCTTTATGCCAACCCTCGTCTCTCCCCCTCTCCCTCTTCTCTCTTTAACTCTCTGCCTGGTTAGTTGTCCCTGTTTGAACCTGTACACCACAAGGTCTTATCTGGGTTTTGACTGTCTCATACCTCCGTGAAACACACATTACAGGTAATCTCTATCTCTCTGAGAATGTCACACCATCACTCTCTCTTATCTCTGAATTCAATAAATATGTGTATTTACGAGGCTAAAGTGCATTGCCACATTTGCCAAAGCAAGTCGGAAAAATAAAACAGAAAGATAACACTTACAAATTATGTGGGATGACAAACACTGAGCTAACTTTTTGCACACACGTTTCAACACTCCCTATACCGGCGTCTCTAGTGCTCCTCCTGTTAGGACTGAGAGCTCAGGTTGACATTGTACTGCTTATGTACTGCAGTTAATGATTATTATCAGGCAGCTCTGGACATCATACATACTAAGCATGCACTCTAACTCTGAGCTACACCAATTCCCTCACCTAGTTCCAGTTTTAATATCGAAACATGCAGTGTAAAAGAGAACCTTTTCCTATCTCGTCCATTCATATTTCATAAATTGCCAGGCATAACTTTCAAAATTAAACAAAAAATCATGATAATGTATACTAACAGGTGACAATTCATCAGAAGGACGCGCGGAAAGTACCTAGAAAAACTGTCGATTTTACGTAGAGGACTATATGACATTACCATTGACTAAATATGAAGACAGAAAGAGTTGCGGTGCCTGGGGTTTTTGAGGATGCATAACATATTATATATAATAAAGTGCACACTGCCGGCAGTACATCAAAGACTGAATTACATCGAAACATGTCACAGAGAGAGTATGTGTTTAGAATGTATACCTACTGCATTAAAATATAATTAGAAACTTAGGATTTAAAGCGCAGACTGTGTCAGGAATTACATCGGTGGGAAGTGGCTGTATCGTATGATGTGTATTTATGTGTATTTGTATGTAAGATAAAAACAAATGGCATCCCAGGAACCCCTTGGGCAATGGATGACACGGTCAATCGGTTGATTGTGAAAATGCGGTTTTGCTCCGACAATATAGAATGTGTGAGCGCTCAGACTTATTCTTCATAAGGTCTGCTACAGGGTTCTTATCTTAGGTGGTTTACCGTTTTACACCAGATATGTATACCCGAGAGATACGAGGTGACTGACACAGATAATGAAAAAGCTGCGCCGAATAAGTGTGATGGTTTTAGCAATGGCAGTCCCAGGGTTTTTTTGCAGACCATGAGACCTGACCAGAAACCACCTAGAGTCCTTGTTATATACCATGTCAGTAGCCCACAGAGCTTTTAATGGTCCAGAGAAACACTTCTCATCACTTGGTTCTTCTCATTGGCCAGTGAACTTAGACAGCTTGACATTCAGAGTAGGTCAGACGAGGTGAAGAGTAATTCTTATCCCTGCGAAACAAACGGTTGACCTTTGACCCCGACAGCCCATCACTCATATTTGATGCTAGTTCTGTGCTGTCGAACTATGCCCGCCATACTGTCACCATAACGACGAACACAGACCAGCTTCCATGTAGCTCTGAAGCATTGAAGTCATGTAAGTTAAATTAACATGTTTTTGAAAATAATGAAGAAAAAAGGACGAAAGTAGCAAGAGCCGTTGGAATCGAAGTCAATCAAGAGTGGAGTTCATTTGTATTCACCCCCGTTTTTCCAATTGTTCATTTGTGAGTCAGAACGGCGTGTAATGAGCTTCCGCTTTTTCAAAAGCAGGTGTTCATTTTCTAAAGAATTACAGAGAAAAAAGGGATAATTCCATTTTCAACGCAGAACGTGCCTTTGAGATCATTGCGGCCAAACACAAACCCTTCAAATACTTGTAGTGAGAAAACTATTTTGCTCTGAATTTTGAGGTAAAGAACGTAGCACAAATTGGCAGAGCACAATCGTTTTTTGGAAAGGGCCCCTGGGGGCTAAATCAGTAGGGTTCTGGGGAAGAGAGAGGGAGAGGCCCAAGTCGGTGTGTATCTCCTCAACCAATCTGTCACACCTCTGTCAGAACCGTCCAATCATCCTTTTTATTGCCCAGACAAAATTCATGACAGAATTGAGGAATGGATGGCTGAAGGGCTCAAACTGGGGGATGTTTTCCGAGAAGATGAGGGAGGTGTAAAAGACCCTTGGCTGAGACACTCCCTGTTTGTTCTCCACAGTCCTCTTCTGATGAGTTGATGAGTTCCTCCCTTGAAAAAGCTTCCGGGAATGGTTGTTAATCATTCTGTCGGAATCGTTTGCCAATGACCTGATTCATAAGTTGGCACCAGACATACTTTTAATAGGGACCTTACAATAATATACACTATACTTAGGTGCCAAAACGGACAAGTCGTTATTACAAACAGGCTGAAAACATGTCTGCTGACGAGGGAGGGGAGATAGCCTTGAGGAAAACATTTTAATAATGTAAAAACATGCGACAGATTTGGCCCTCAATTTAAAAATATGTTTTGGTACAGGTAATATGGAGGACTGTGTTCCATAATATGAAATAAATATATAATACATGAATAAATGAATATATAAATGAATACATATATAATTACATACTTAGATTTAAATATATATATATATAAATAATAAAATACGTAAAAATATAAATACACATTGCATTTGCGATGTGTAAACTTATGAATCTTCCAAATGCAATACACATTTTGGATGGTGTCATGTTGTACACAGTTCAAATGCAGAAGTACAACATCACATATAACAGCATTTATTTATTTAATATTATGGCACACATAGTCCTCTATACAGGTACAGGCAACTAGCACACAAATCTAATTACGTTGTGCAATGTTACCAATTGCTGCATAATAGAAAATAACACCCAGTATTGTGTCACTTTAATCGACAAAACCAACTTTTCTATGCAAAAATATACACTCTCCATTTTTTTTTTTACAAAATTAGAAACAAATTTAACCTAGATCTTCTACGTCACTATTGCTTGCAGTCAGCAAACATTTCCAGTTTTACAGAACATTAACTGTGCGATTACGTTGCTCCCATGTGCGTGTTAAGGAACGGCCAAACGAACCCAGGTAATCGAAACAGCTAATACAATTTTAAAATACTGTCAGTGGGAATTGTCCATTTGGTTTATGGATACGTTACGGGCGGTGGAGAGGACAGCAGCCTGAGACTTAAGGGCAGGCTGTCACCATGGCAACACCACAGTCTGTGTTTTTCGTCTCCTCTCAGAACGGCCAGCCAACACCAGACGTGCCGACTGGGCAATCTGGCCTACCAGCAGGGCAGAAAAAGGGTTTGTGTGTGTGTGTTTGTGTGCGAAATCCGTATCAGGTTGGAACCTCGAAAAACTATGGCACTTGGAATGGTTCTATCTCCCCTGGTGCCAAGGCGGGGGAACGCAACATCAGGATCTAAAGAGGGAGCGGAGCAGTGCGGGCCGTGGTGCCATCGGTATTCAGCGATTTTCCGGACTCCAACTGCATTCTGGTCATGGAAGTAGAGAGCTGGAGAAGACCCCAAAACCCAACCTTGTTTTTATTTTGGGTGCATACTTGTAGGAAGAGTAGAAAAGAGGTTTGAGGAGAGGAGAGATGAGGATAAAAGACGAGAGAGTCGTACCACACATTTCCGATTGGATTAAAACATTTGTTGGCATTTTCTTTTACTTATTATGTTTTAATAAATTCAGAATCTCCAGTCCATCTGCAGTCACAGATGGCCAAGATAATATAAAGCAGGTATCATCTGTGTGTTTCCATTGAAAATACACACATTGAATGACTGCATTTGC